AAAAAAAACAAGCAGTAACGCAAGGATGCCCTGTCAAATGCAAAACCTTTCCACTATCTTGAAGAAGTCGCTGCGTGCAAGAAATTGGTATTTTTACATACAAAGAAAGATGCTAAGGAACCAATATTCACCCTCTTATGCAGAGAAAAAACATCTGAAGCCATCTATGTTACGTTCGTTCATGCACGTATTGCGATGCCAATCATAAATGTCTCAGTGCACTGAATACCTTTCCAAAAGATCGCACTTTACTTTCGTGAACAAAAATTATGTCTTACCTGTCCTTCAACACAACAGGTAACTTCCCAATGCTAAGAACGGACGTGCCTAAGTGCCAGGGATTGCATCACACGTCCTGCTGCTTCAAAGTTCTACCACAATTATGACTACCGACAGACTAGTCGCGATCTGCTACGACTCAAGAAAAGAAGAATAAATCACCCACATCTAAACATCCAATTTTCCCGCACTTGACAACCACTTCAAAGGTCAATAACGTTAGACAAGAGAGAGACGTTCAAAACAAAAACGCGATTATTTGCCAGCTACGATCACACCTGGAGATAAAAAAGGTCATAGCTTAACCTTTCTGCATACTGGAGAACTTACAGTTGGAGACAACAAGAACGACATAGAAAAAGATAGGCGTCCTTTTTAACACTGTCGTCAAAATATCATTTATTGATACAAATCTGGCTAACGACCTTTACCTTCCAACAGAGAAGAAAAACTACGTCTTTCTACTTCAGAACAAATACAGGAAAAAATCTGTCGTATTGTTCAATTGAATGCATGTGAAGCCAAAGGAGTACCATTTCAATTCTCCAATGCTAATTAATAAAAACGCAAATTATTCGTACAAAACATCATAACATTTCATTTAAAATCACTAGAAACAGGTTTAAGGCAAAACCACAAATTTTGCAAGATTGTAAATATAGAAATTTGTCAAAGAGGACAAAAACTCAAGTTTCCCATCTGTCTTCACCTATTCGACACACGGCTAAGCTACATCTCAGGGCACATTAACTCCCCAAAGAAAATATTAATCGGAGATGAGATCAAATGGGGTGGTTACTGGCTTGGATGTTCAAACTGACACCAGCTCGATCGAGAACAATAACAGCACCGGAGCATGAAAAGGACGATACATCGATGAGGAAGACGACGAACACTGCTGAACAGGAAAAGGGAGAATTTTTGGGCTCTAGAAGAGCAGGAGCAGAGTCGAAGAAAATGAAGAACGCAAAGAGCGCAAGAGCAGAAATAAAGGCTGTCTCGGAATACAGCAGCAGTATAGCGGACAGACGAGATGACAGGTATTATGCCTACCTTGGGAAGAAAATATAACTTAATATAACCGCGGAACTTCAAAACATCAAAGCTATATCTCACCATCGACTACTAAGCTTTTGGAGCTCTCCAAAGGACGAAGAGTTGTTGCAATAATATGATGCAATTTTGCAAGCTGCGCCATAACATTCCCAGAAAAGTCCCTGCAGACATGTGACAACGAAGGCATTTACACTAGATGCCGCATGAAGCCGCCATAAATACAAACAAGTCTGCAACGAAGTTGAGATATGTATATGATGCATCGGCTCACTACAAAGAATGGCCATCAAACGATGTACTATATCGCGGTCCAGTTATTCTTCCGCAGCTATATGGCGTACTATTGCGCTTTCGGATAAGATGCATGCGTCTTATTCGAATGCGCTATAGAAAAAGCGTTCCTCTAAATAAGACTGCATGAAGAAGATTGCGATGCAAAGATGCTTTACGGCTACGAGATTGCAGATTACCTCCAACTCAGAGCAACACACTGACTCTACGATTTACGACGGTGCTCTTTGGATTAATCTCATTTCCTTTTTGCTTGCGGCCACAACACAATTTTTTGGATCGGCTTGAAAATTATAGCAAGTTTGCGGAAGAGATAAAGAAAATTTTGTATAGATAATCTAACAGTGACGGAAATATAACTGCAAAAGCATCTTTGTTGTTTCCATTAAGCAGAGTTCAACGTTCTCAAAGGGCATTCGGAAATCCGTTTGCAACGACAAGCAAGTGTCGAACACAAGATGTAGACAAGTTGTCGGAAGTGTCTCCCAAGTTATTGGGATTTCGGTAGGAATCACGGAGAGATAAACTCGAAATTGCATGCTTAAAGCAAACCTAGGATTATCACCAAGCGAAATTTACGAATGCAATAGCAATAGCAATTCCGACCCTATCGGGTGTATGCTACTGCACGAGCGCAACGTCTTTCTCCTGTCACTGTGGAGGAACAAATTTGATTTGGACGCGGTATTAGCTGGAGATCGCGTCAGTTATTGGCGGAAAATATGCCAGGACGTATAAGACTTCAAAAAAATACCCAGATTTTTGGTCAAAAAGGATTCACAAATAAGATTAGCTGCATTTGCAGGCGCCAGCGCAAAAGCCAATCCCACATGCATCTGTTTGAAGTCAAATAAATTCATCTCATCTCTTGCTTGCAAAAGGAATGCTGCCATTACTAAGATATGAAACTACAATACCAAAAATGGAACTGTATGCAGTTACCATGCGTATAATTAACTCCACAGTGACCTAACTCCAGTTCATCTTAGGATCAGCGGCGTTCAGCTTTTTTTAGAAAAACTCAGAGTTCGTTTGTAACTGTATCAAGACAAAACCACTCGCAAGAGTAATGCTATTCAACAGACTGAGAGATCAACAAGATGATCACTTGGTAAGCAAAGGTGCAAGTTCATCATAGTTATGTATCTACCGAAAAATCGGCAAATTGCGCAACAAAAGGATAAATCGCTCCCATTTGAGAGACCATTTTTGGTGGGCGGTCCACCTTTCCTGAATGAGCCACCGGAAGAATGAACTGTCAGCCACCTCTTCCAGAAAGTAAAGGAACCAAATGACAAAAGCCATGAATCGACTGATACAGTTTACTCACAGTAGATTGAATCGAGGACACTGCGAGAACCATTGCTTTCACTCACTTCCTCAAACAAGTTAAACGCTTTCCATTACCAACGGCAACAAAATAACATCCTTCTGTCTCCTTTGTCCAAAAGCCAACTCATGAATGAAAGTGAAGAACTTATTGGTGAGGAAATCACAATCGACGAGAATAATTTCAAAAAAAAAGTCCATCAAAAGGCCTTCTGTACAATTGCAAGAAGGAAATCTATGTCCCACTTAAATATACGACAAGACAACGTGTTTGAGTTTCAATGGATGAGTAGGAAAGAGCTGCTCAAAAGACACCACAAAGTACCTTGGATTATCATGCTAAATTCCCGGCTCTCAGATGCTATAATACGGGCCACAGCAGAGGACATCCCGGCATATTACACGATGGCCCTGTCAAAACTTTTTAATTCTCAAACTAAGTGTACAAGTAACACGTATCAATCTTCCACATGTTAGCGTTCAACAGTCGAGGCCATTCAAGCATGTAAGACTGATTACTTTGGACCCTTTTGTAAAAATAAGTGAAGGGATCACGAATAATTGCTACGGCACAATCATTACGTGCAGGACCGCGAGACTCATCCATCTCGACGTAGTTACTGACCTCCACCATAGCATCTCTTGATACGTTTCAAAGATTCTTTGTACGCAGAGGAGTTCCAAAGTCTACCACAAGCGACAACGTTCCAACATCCTTCCTTGTCAAGAAATCCTAGCAGATATGATTAATGACCTCGAACGTGACGTCACACTCGCCAAGGATATTAACAATCGCAAATTGAATGGAAACATATCAAATCGCGCCATGGCAAGGAGGATTCTCTGAGCGACTGATAAAGTTAGTCAAGCACTCGCTTTACGAATTGTTATGCGAAGACAAACGACGTTGTAGAAATGCCAACCTTTCTTGTAGAAATTGAGGCGTTACTCACACAAGCCCTCATCTACATGAATTCAGACTCCTGTAATGAAACCTTCGCCAGACCGAACGAATTTATGCTAAATGCAATCACCCTCGACTACCCATTTAGAAAAGCCAGCTTATTTGTTGAAGATCTTTTCTTCACACAAGATTACAGAAAAATTCTTGTCGAGCAACAGAAATA